CTTTGTCTCCACCAACGTAAAAGATAAAATTCATCTTATCATTTCATGTTTCTTGATAGTAGCAACATGGCTACTGTTATGCTGGATGTTGCATGCTCACGCTGTCGTCAAAGTGGGAAGAGCACGGAGAACACCCCATGTTTTTCAGACTAGTTCTGCGGATACAGGTTTAATTGGAGATGTCTGATGAGACCATCTTGGCATTGGAGAAATATTCACACATTGGACACATATTCCCTGCAGAAAGGGTCACCTTGGGACATTAGTTGGTTCACATTGTGATTTGGATCTTAATAATTCTCCCAAAGCCCACAGGCTAAAGGGTTAGTTAGTGGCCTGCTATGCTGTTAGGAGGTGATGGAAAGAATTTTGAGGGATTTAATAGGAGAAAGTTAGATCATTGGGAGCACGTCCTTGAAGGGGATATTGTACTTTTCCATCTCTCCCATTTTCTCTTCTCTCTCTCTCTCTCTCTCTCTCTCCTTCCTGACCCCTAAGGTAGGCAGCTTTGTTCACCAGGATATTCTCCCTTGCAAGGGGCCCAGAAGCAGCAGGACCCACCAATCACAGATTGGAACTTCTGAAATTATAAGGCCAAATAAGCTTTTGCTCTTTTAAGTTTTTTTCAGAGATATTTTGTCACTAAAGGAAATCTCACTAAGATCATTAATGATCATATTACTTTTATAGAAAGTTGTGTTTATGTCACATGCATCTGTCTTGGATTTTTAAAATATTGACATCTTTTAAGCAGATTGCCTTCCCAGCTGAGCTCTCTGTCACTGCCATCCTGCAAGCAGTGTCTTTAGATATATTTTTAGGGCATCTTTAAAAATGTCCATGAGATGCTCCTTCTGTCCTTATCTCATACCAACATTGATTAAATTGGGAAAATAATGTCTTTTTGAGAAAACTTTATATATATATATACACATGTATGTACATATATGTATATACATATATATGTATGTGTGTTATATATATATATACATATACATATATACACTGAGTTTTATCCTGTGCTGTCTTAATAGCTCATGCCTTTAAAAATCAGAAACAGGTTTTTGCTTGCTTTTAGTTTTGCTTCTCATTTTCCTTGGTGACTTCTCTCTTGTTGCTGAGTCAAAATACCCAACGCCCAAAATGAAGGAAGGAAAGGTTTATTTAGCTTACAGTTTGTGGAGGTTTCAGTTCATACTTGGCTGGCTCCGAGGCAGAAGGTAGCAAAGCAACAAGAGCAAATGGGGGAATAGCAGCAGAACAGCAAACAGCCAGAGCAAACGGGAGGAATCGCAGCCAGCAGCCTCTTTCCCTCCCTTACTTTGTAAACAGGCTATCCCCACCTAAGGGGCGTGTAGCTCCACATAATCTCCATGCCCTCCTCTTCCACAGTCTCAGGATGTATACAAAGTAAGCACCTTAGCTTCCTGCTGAGTCACTTAGCCCAACCTCTAGACTCCCCAAGTTGACACAATGTATCAACCATAACAATACTCTAAACATTTTTCTTTTAATCCGATCAAAACAGACCAAGTTTGAATTGAGAGATGGTTCTTGTTTCTGCAGTGTTGGAATTCCATATGAAATGCTATCACTTGTGTAAACTGTGGCAGGTAGAATGCTGTGAGGTGAAGAGGTAAAAATGATGCTCAGGAAAGTAAACATAATGCCTCTGGGCTCCATTGTGTTAACAGACCAACTGAATGGTGTCTTTAAGATGCTGATAAATTCACAGGCTCCTGTTTAACAATTTCAAGGGGGAAGGGTGAGATATGTCTTTGGGTTAGGTGTTTAGTTGCTCATTCAAGTTACTTCCAGCTGGAGAAAAGGCTGCTCTAGTTGTCTGCAGTCCAGCTGCAAGCACAGGCTCTGTGGAATCCCTTGCGAAAGCGTTCTCTTGAGATCCCTGCAGTCAGTGTACCTTGAAGCAGACAGTGTGTAAGGCTGACAGTCTGGAACTGCTGGGTGTTTCCCTGCCGCTGGTGTGTTTAGCTTGCTGCTAGCTGGGATCCAGTACGTTGTGTTCTTAGGTATTCACCTGGAACCCTAAAGACGCAGGTACCATCTGGAGGCCTGTAAGGCAGGAGCTGGCCTTGATCCTATAGACATTTCTATTTTCTCTGGCACCCTGCTGGTAAATTTTCTTTAAAGAATCCTAAGCATGTCCTGTAATGGGAGGAGGGAGGCTGGACCTGTAGATGGATTGGAAACTTGGTTCTCAGGTTTTCCTGAAGTTTTTCTTACTCTATTTCTGTTCCTCAGCCTCTGGGATATAGACACAAAGACAAATAATTGTTTCTGTCTTGATGAAATCTGGTTTCATCAGCCCCTGCATAAGTCAGAAAAGTGGTTAATGGCATTACATATGGGTTACACTATGAGGGAGAAGACAAAGAAACCTCACATTTATAGACCAGCAAAGAAACTAAACATGGGAATAAGAAGTGGAAAGGAAAATGGGGCGAGTTCTCCCTGGGAGTTAGCAGAAATGAGCCGAAGGTGATATCCCTTCCAAATGATGTTTTATGGTGTCAGAGTCACATGGCTGCTTGTGGAAAGGAACCCCATCCAAATCTATATAGTTGGCCTCTTCTCAGAATTAGTGAGTCAAAATGTTGGGGACTGAGGGGGGTGATGCTATAGCCTGAATTCTGTCACCCTAAAATTCATATGGTGAATTCCTATAGGAATTCACTCCTTCACTCCTATAGGCTCAGAATGTGATTGTTTTTCGAAATATAACTTTTAAGGAGGCACGTAACTTGACAAGGTTAGGGCCCTAGTCCAGCATAACTGATGTACTTAACAAGAAGAGTAGATTAAGACCGAGGAACGCGGAAAACTCTTATGAAGGCACGAAGAGAAGACAGTCGCCTGCCAGCCAAGGAGGGAGGTCCCTAAAGAAACCACCCTCCCACCGCCTTGATCTTGAACCTGCAGCCTCCAGAACTGTGAAAAATAAATTTCTAGTCTTTAAGGCAACTAGTCTGGCAACCCCAGCACAGTAACAAAGGAGGAATATGCATTTTAGAGATGTCCTTCAGGTGATGTTTATGCACATTAAAGCTAAAAGATCACATTTTTAGGGTTTGGAAAGACGAATTTGAGTTGAGCTCCAGTTTTTAAAAATTCCCTTAAGCCACTGATTAAAAAGCTAAAGAGGAATGAGGAAATTCAAGTCCACAAACCGGTACTGAGCTAGTCCAGGGGCAAGACTAGCTGAGTTTTGTTGGCTTTCACTATAAACAAGAACCAGGGTTAAGCAGATGCCAGGTGTCTTCCCGCCACCCCCGTGACTCAAACACGTGCATTCAATCTTGTCTTCCTTGTCTGCAAAAATAAACAAGCAAGGGTGTCTGGAGAGGGAAATTTAGTAGTTAACATCAGTAGCACCAAGGCCTGGATGAAGATGAGACAAATTATATGCCTGGGGAATCAACTTCAAGGAAGCAAGGTCATGCAAGTTTGGAATTTGTACTTGTAGGAGCCAAAGAGTTACATGCCCTGGGTGCAGAATTTAAGGAGGTTCTTGCCTCCATTCTGGGTTCTATCAGGGCGGGGTCAGACTCAAATGACTTTGCCTCCTTAAATTCTATGCCCTAGTCACCTGTTTGTCTCATTTTAGTCAAGTCCCTGCTCTGGTGTGATATGAACTAGGACATTTCCTTTTTCAGGACAGCTCTGCTTATTCATTTTTGCAGACAACGAAGGCAACCTTGAATGCGTCTGGTTGGGTCCGGGAGGGCAGTAGGAACGTAGAGTGTCTGGAAGCTGAGCCTCCTCTGTGTGCCAAGGGCCGAGGTCTGCTTAATTCTGTGTTCTTATTTGTACTGAAGGTCAAATGGAACAGCCCCCTCGCTGACTGTGGTCAGATTAAGTGAGAGTTTGGGGGCGGAGGGATAGTCCCTTACCCTCTCGTGGTTTGTCCTAGTAGCGTGCTTGCCAACTTGCCCAGTGCAGTCAAGGGGGTACCAACAAAATGGGATTGTTTCTGTTGGCTGTGATTTGTTTCTCTTATAGATTGAGATCTACTCTAAGGATGATCTAGTCAAGGGCCAACCTTTAGGAGTCCTCCAAGTGCTTCTCCCCTCCTTTCCTCTCCCCTTCTCCTCCCCTCCCCTCCCCTCCCCTTCCTTTCCCTATCCTCCCCTCCCCTCTCCTTCTCTATCCTCCCCTCCTCTCTCCTCTCCTTCCCTATCCTCCCCTCCTCTCCCCTCTCCTTCCCTATCCTCCCCTCCCCTCCCCTCTCCTTCCCTATCCTCCCCTCCCCTCTCCTTCCCTATCCTCCCCTCCCCTCTCCTTCCCTATCCTCCCCTCCCCTCCCCTCCCCTCTCTTTCCCTATCCTCCCCTCTCCTTCCCCTTCCCTATCCTCCCCTCCCCTCTTCTTCCCTATCCTCCCCTCCCCTCTCCTTCCCTCCCCTTCTTTTCTCTTCTCTAAACCTGAGGTCCAATAGTAAATGATTTTAAAGCCTTAAGGGACCTTAAGATCATTGAGCTGAAAGCTTCATTCTACTTATGAGAAAACTGAGAATAGCAGGAAGGACCTATAAAACCAGGATATTGGAACAACAAAAGAGAAAAGGAAGAGACAGCTGTTAAGTTCAGACAATAGGCTAGTGTTCTCCTGTGCGCGGGCATAGCTCAGGTCATGAGGAGCATAGGTGGGTCTCAAGGAGTCTATTTGATATGCTAAGGCCTAAGCAGGAGAAAGTACTCAGTTCCACCTTGATGGGTCCCAGGTCCCTGTGTTTTCTTTTGGGAGGGGCCTCTGAATGAGTATTCCTCCAGTCCCCTAACTGTTGCCAAACAATCGATCTCTTAAGAAAATGCAAACACTTTTTTTCTTATTACAAAGTTGTTTTTTGTCCTAGAACGGGGATTTGGAGAGTCCATGTGCCTGCTGACATCATAGCTGTGGTTTTTGTAAGCTTCACAGATTGCTGTTCTTTGTATCCTCATTCCTATTTCCTTTCTCTTCACTGGCACCTGGCAGAAAAAGGGTCTTCACATAATCACACTTCAAAATACGAACTGCCGCAGGAGACAATCAATGGAAGAAAAATAGAGGTTTATTTGTGATGCAGCTGCTTCCCTGTGAAGAAGTGACTGTCCTGCATCCTCCCACCCTGGGGACCCAGGTAAGTACTTGCATGTGGGGTGAGGTCAGCAGACTCCCAAGCTCCAGTCCAATGGGAGAACAGGGCCAGCGGAGCGGTGGAGTAGAAAAGGAGGAGGGAATTCTGACCAGAGGAAAAGGGCTTCCTGGTATTTTACCCAAGTGGGCCTTGGCTGCAACAGTTTGAAATACAACCTGTTGGAAAGGGTGTGGGAAATTTTACACCATTTTCTAAGAACCCAGTGATGAACTCTGAGCAAGACTGAGTTGCTTCTTTTAAGGAAAGCAGCTGCTGCAGGGTTAGCGGTGTGCGCCCTGGCCGTAAATGCATCGTTTAACTCCTGCTCTCCACTCACTGTAGGGGCAGCTGGGAGCACCTCATGGATATCTGCGCATGCCCTGACTTCTTATCTGTTACGCGACAGCAGCCACAGCAGCCACACACCCTTGGGTTGTCGTGAGGCTTTAATTAGTCAAATGTTAGCGATTACATTGCAAGGGACAATGACATATTGTGTAAGCGTTCTTCCTGGGAGAAACGGTCACTAGCTTTAGAATAATGCACAGTCTTGTCAAGTACAAGGACACCCTGAGAGTTTATAAATTAGATCAGCTGATTTTGTGCCCCAGCGAGAAGGGTTAGTTTGGTGTCCTTGAGATTTTTTGCTCTGTACAACACAAAGCATTTGAGAAGAAATTCTAATGTTCGTCAAGTGTATCTCTCCGTTTTAATAACTTGGGCGCTCAGCTGTCAATTTTGGGCACGATTTCAAAGACTGTTGAGGTGTTGTCTGCCGGTCCAGGTCTGGCAGCATTGCCGCAGCCACCTCACTCTCTGGGGTGACTGCTGTGCACCCTGCTTGTGGCCCACAAGGTGCTTGGTGGCTGCTGTCACGGTCGCCTTTTGTAATTTTCCACTGAGCTGCACCATTCTTCTCCCTAGCCCTCAGCCACCAGCTGGGCACAGAGTTAAGTTTGTCCTTCGGAAATCTTCAGAGGTCAGAAAATTTATTTTACTTTTTCCACCTTTGTTCAGAAATGGGACCCAAGCTGTCAGATTCATAGAAAGCTGAAGCATTTCAGATCAGACCACCTGCTCCCCACATCACGTCAAATCCAGCAGTGGTGTTTGCAGTTCTATCTGACAAAAATTTCACAGCAACAGCAAAAGCAAAGTTCGGAGCATTACACATCCACAATCAGCTGAGCAGGTTAATGAACAGACAAGCATGAAAATAAATATTTAGCTGGTTAGATAAAATCTTCTTTTCTTCCTATTAGTGTTTTAAAACTAAATAGTTTTATTAAAGGTGACAAAATGGGATGACATGTTTGTGTTTAATTTTAAGACATAAAATGAACTTACTGTTTTGTGTTTGGTTTTTATAAAACATTGCTGTATGGTGTGTGTGTGTGTGTGTGTGTGTGTATATGTACACATATATAAAAAGTTGTGATCTCTCCTGAGTTTGGGGAAATGCATGCTTTTTTCGCATTACCGTCTGTGGTTTACAGATAGCATTGGTGTAATGCATAAGTTCTTATGCTATTTTATGCATCAATATTTGACCTAAGGAAAATATTCCAATTTTGTTGTATTTCTGTACTTTATATGTGGTGTTGCATGGAGAAGCCTCTGGCACAGAATAAGACATATGTCCTATTTGCTCAGATGTTTGTTTCTTAATTTTTTCCCTTGCACAGGTATGTTTCAGTTTCAAAATACACATCTTTGAGGGCCAAGTGAATTGTAGGTAGGTTTTTAGCTAGAGTCGTTGTCAAGAGCTTTCATGAGAATAGAATTTTGTCTCCTATCCCAGGGAAAATGGGAATTCCAATGGCTGCCGAAGGATGAGTAGAAGGAATTTGGAAGTACCCTTCTTTGCTTAGCTGAGAGCTCTCTCAGAGGATACACCTGAAAAATCTCCTAAGAAAGCAAATTTACACACAACCATGCAAGGGTTGTCAGTACCAATGTGCAGAAGGACGTGGTTGTACCTGGTTGACAGTATTGTATGATTCTTAAAAGAAAACGATCACCTACTCTTTCATAACATTGTGAAATCTACCTGGTATAGATTCTTGTCCAAAACATGTCTATCTAGTAAAGTGATCAACTATACCAGCACGCCTGCAGCTGTTCCAGCCCTAAAAGTCATTGCCTAGGACTTCCTAGTTCTGAGTTAGCCAGGATAGTCGGCCAGTCTGCCAGAGGCCAGTCAGGCTATTTTCATGCATTTTATAGAAGTAATTAGAGAAGAGGGGTTATGCCAAAATTTGCCGTTCTTCCAGGGACATAGGCCAGATTTTCTATTTCTAGGTATCTACATTTATGAATTATGGATACACATTTCAAAGTCTGTTTCAAAGTCTGTACTCTGTAGTTTGAATTTTGCAAACTTGGCTATGATTTTTGCCCATTCCTGTCAGTTGTTGGATAGTTGGGCTCTGACTTTAATTATCACACCTGTTATTTTCTGTAGAATCCTTTTTTCCCCCACAGTGCTATTGACTTTCTACTTGTGTGTCAGGGTATTTGACTTTAGGTTTCTGACACCCGAGTCCTTGGCAAAAGTAGCGGCCCTTACAAAGTAGTGAGGTTCACAACCTCTGTCAGTGAATAAATCTTTTAGAAAATCCCACTACATTGGCTTAACCAATAGGAAGTTTACTTGCTTGGCTATGAAGAGTTCATGGGCATGGCAGGCTTTGGGTTGGTGAACAGTCACTGAACACAAGGTTCTTTCCCCGTGTCCTCTATGGTTTGAAGGATTGCTGCTAAGCTTTATTCCCTCTCTTGCTGAAGCAATTGCAGCTCAATACCAAACTATTTGTTTTTGGGACACGAAGAGAACTCACATCTTCAGCTGGGTGAGGTAGGCTCAGGTCAGGCAGCCAATCGACCTGAAGATTGTTGCTGGGAGCGTGCTCTGTGCTGCTTGACCTGAGCATTCTCACTATCTGAAGGAACTGGATTTCCACAGTTGGATGAGCCATTGTTCTTCAGTTTTGACAGAACATCAGACTTGCTTGAGGGACTGCTGGAACCCAGTCAGCTGGACTCCACCCCCAGCATCTCTGATTCAGTAAGTCTGAGTGGGGCAGATAATAATTTCCCTTTCCAACCACTTTCAGGGAACGCTACTTCTGCTGGTCGAAGACCAAAGTTTGAAAAAAAATTGTTTTAGAAAACTTAGAATTTATCCCTGTAGCTGATTTCAACTCCCCAGACATCTTTGTTTCTACAAAACAGAGAAACTTCGAATGGGCTTTGGATATTCATAGCATCCTTTGTATAATCTTTTCAAGTATTTTTCTTCTATTATTTCCTACTTCCCAGTAACTTTTCTCTCCTGACCTCTGGGCCCTGGATCCATAGATCTCTCCTTTTGACAGGTTTTTATTGGAACATCACCTGCTTACCATTCCCACTCCTACTCAGTCTGATCTTCTCTGAAAGTGTTTTATGCCCCAAAATAGTCCTCTTTTCTTTCATGACAAGCCTTTAGCCACTATACAATTTCTTTCCTTTCTTTGGCAATCTCAGCTATGTATCACAATATTAGGTGTCTAGGTAAAATGATCATCCTTCCCATAACTTTTTGAAATGTATATTTTAAAGTTTTAATTGATATAGTAATTGCACCTACTTATGGAGCCCTGTGTGACATTTCCATGCATGTATATAATATATATTGATCACACTGGGGTAACTGGTATATCCATTACCCATTGCACTTATCATTCCATTTATCATACCAGAGACATTCAGAATTCTCTCTGGTAGCTACTTTGAAATATATAATAATTGTCAATAACCACAGTTGCAGTGATTGGTTTAAGAAGTGCCCAGAAGATTAGTAAAGCACATTTCTGGGTGTATCTGCATGGATCAAGGTGCCATAACCTTGAGGACTACATCTGGAGCCTGGCCTTTTCTCACTGGCTCTTCCTCTGCCCTCTGCTTCCCAGGCTCCATGAGTTGAGCAGCTTTCCTCTGACAGGCCCTTCTGCCTTGATGGTTCTGCTTGGAAGCCAAGTGGCCATGGGTTGAAACCTTTGGAACTATGGCCAGAGTGAGCTTTTTTCCTTGAAGTTTTATATGTTGGTGTTTTGTCCCAGCAATGGAAACGTGTCTAATATAATGGTTACCTTACTGGACTATAAAACAAGAGAAATTATTCCTTCTTTCCAACTGCTCCCTTATACACACTCACTATCCCCTCTTCAACCTCCTTCTCCAAAGCCTTCCCAGGTTTTGATAACCACTATTCTATTCTTTACTTGTCTGAGACCAACCTATTCACTGCCACCTATAAGTGACCAGGTGAGGCATTTGTCCTTCTGTGCTTGCCACTGCACTTGATCTAATGTCCTCCAGACAGGAGTTCATCCTTTCTTATGGATGAATAATATTCTGATTTGTATATATACCACGATTTCTTTTCCCATCTGTCCATTCACGGATACCTCCATAGATTCCATATCTTAGCTATTGTGAGTAGCACTGCCATGAACATATGACTAGAGATGTTTCTTCAACACATTCATTTCACTTCCTTTGTATATCCAATAGTGGGATTGTTAGACCATATGGCAGTTCTTTTTTTTTTTTTTTTTTTTTTGGTACTAGGAATTGAACTCAGGGCCTGATGCTTGCCAAGCAGGTACTGTGCTGCTGAGCTATACCCCTGGCCCATACGACAGTTCTATTTCTAGTTTTCTGGGTAACCTCTGCCATTTTCTTCATAATTGCTGTACTGATTTACATGACCAACAACAGTATATCAAAATTCCCCTTCCTCTGCATCTTTTCTTTTTGTCTTTTTTATTAATAGCCATTCTGAGGTGAGATGATCTCACCATATATTTTTCATTTGATTAATTGATGGAGACCACTATGAAGCAGCCCTGAGCAGGATTTAAATTAACCAATGGGATTTTCACATTTACTTGTGAAGCTGTCCAAGGCCTAGCCTCCTAGTCTGGACATAAGCCTGTAAGGGTGCATGAGGCTGGAAAGCCTCAAAGGATAAGACAAGATCACAGGCAAGGACACCTGGATCCAACCTCAACTAAATAAGGACTGTAGCCTCAGGCATTGGATTAATTTAATACCTTACTTGGAGTAGTCCTTGAGTGGTTCCACCTTTCTTGAGTACCGCCCACCCTTCTTTTGATAACTAAATAGTTACAGACCACCCAGAGAAGATCTTAGTCTTAGCCCTGAGAGAATTGCAAATTCTGTGAGAGGGCTTTGATCCTCCTGGAGCCCTGACATCATTCCATTTGCCTCTTTCTCTTTAGCCTTTGCTGTACACTTGTTTAGAAGACTGTGGACTTGATCAGTTTGCAATTACTAAGGGATATTATTAACCCAATAATTAGTGAAATTGAGCATTTTTCAAATATATGTTGACCATTATATATATTTAGGGGGGTGTTCAGGGCCATGTGAATGCTAGACAAGCACTCAAATACTGAGCTACATATCTAGCCCCTACATGTCCCTCATATATCTGCTTATGTATATTTTCTTTTGTATGGTTGTCTGGGATAATGGGGAATCTCTTTATCTGACTTGACACTTTTGTTTTTACAGTGCGTCTTTTATTGTAGTTCTAAAAGTTATGCTATGCTTTGGCTAGGATTCCTTTTGGCCATATGTCTTAAGGTCCTTTGATTTTCCTGGAACTGGATATCTGTATGTTTTTAAAGATTTGGAAAGTTTGCAGCAATTATTTCATTGAACATTTTTTTATACATTTTTCCTTCTCTTCTTCTGGATTACCTATGATATAAAATTTCCTGGTGTCCACACTTCCTAATGTCCTGGTGTCCCATTACTCCAGTGGATCAGTTGCCGCTACCAATTTCATGGGGTGAAGTTCACAGTAAACAACTTCCTCCTGCTTGTCAGTATGGTGCCAGTGGAGTAGGCTGTGTTGGCTTTAGTATTAGGTGGGCACTTTCCTGTAGTGTCAGTAGTCTGTGGCCATCTTGGTAGCCTTGGCCACAGGCACTGTGGGACTCTACCCCCAGGTGGCATGCAGCTGTCTTGCAGGGCATGTTTGTTCATGGCTCTGGGCGTGGTACTCCATGTGCTAGCATGGTTTGCCCATAAGTCCCCAAGAGTTGTATGGACATGAGGCTGCTGGGCCAGTCCCAAATAAGTGTGGTGCAATGTGCCCAATAGTGAGAAGCCTATGTGGTCCAAGGCTGGGCTGGAGGTGGGTGCCATGGTCGTCCCTGTTGCCAGTGTCTGAGAGCTGTACTGCTGATTTTGGTCTTTGTAGGATGAGCTTCTCAGATCGAGTAGTTCTTCTGCTTTCCAGGGCCAAAGGGGTACATGGGGCTGTCTAATTACTTCTCAGGTCCTCAGAGTGGAGCCACTCAGAAGAGCCCACTTGACTGTCCTCAGTGAGCTGAACTTCTCAGAACAGGCTTCCCATTGGCTTCTTGGGGCTGCAGTAGATTGGGTAGAGCCTCCCAACTCTTTCCTTGGAGGCCTCAACAGGTTGAGCTGTTCAGGGTGGGTCACCTACCTGGTTCCCTTGGTCATGAGTGTAATGTTGAGGCTCTCTGGCTGCTTCCTGAGACAGCAGGAGAATGAGTGGACATACTTGGCTATTTCTTGGGATGGAAGGGGGGGTACAAGGGGCTGCCTTTCTTCTTCCTGAGATCTCTGTGGGTTCAGCTGCTCAGGGCTCCTTGCTTAGGTACAGAGGGTGAGTGAGCAAGGCCACTCATCTAATTCCTAGGGCCTTTAAAGGTGAAGTCATTCAGGGCTGCCTGCCAGGTGCTTTCCTGATGTATGGGAGAGTAGGAGAGGCCACCTGGTGGGTTAGCAGGGCTAGTTTGACTAAGCTGCTAAGGTAGCTACCTGGCTCCTTCACAGGACCCCAGGTGGGCAGGGTCTCAAGATTGTGTTGTGCAAGAACAGCTGGGTGGGAGAGGACATGACGCAGGCTGGACTTTTTCTCTGGGGCAGTGCAGCACCATGGTGACCTGGCACAGGGCCCGAGAGGCCTGCAGCACCCTTTAGCAGCAAATACTTTTGTCATTCAGATGGGGACTGGTAGGAGTTTCTTGCTTACCCTTTCCCAACTGAGCAAAGTCCGTTTGATTGTGGGTTGATCTAGACAAATAAGACAGTGAATGCTATATGCTTCGTTAGCTCCCTTCTCTACAAGGCCACCAGGCATCTGTGCTGTGCAGTGCGTCTGCTACATCCCCCTTTTACTCTGGAATCTGCCTCAAACTCTCATGCGTGTGTATGTATGTGTGCATGCATGTATGTGCATGTGTATGTAGGGAAGCATATCTGGCAATTCTCATCAACCATGTGCTCAATAATCCACATTTTCTTCCCCAAGGTTTTACAAGAAAAGATTGTTAACTCAAATGAGCTCGTACTTGTCCACTTACAAAAGGGCGACGTTTAGAACAAATTTTCCTTTCAGATATCATTGCCATTTCATTCTCTTTACTTTTCTTTGGGCAGAATAACGTTGCCTAAAGTGTACAAAGAGGAACACTCCTTGAAGCCAAAATAACTAGACAAAACCAGAATTACTAGATTTGATCACTCATTTTCTATACTTCTGGACTGTAAGCCTAAAGTAAAACATTCAGGACACAAGCGAGGGAGCTCTGTGTAGCTCCCCCAGTTCTCAGAATTGCTGCAACACATACTGCAAAATCATGATATAGCAATTTATTTGATTTACACATTTTGGGGAAAGAAATACACTTTATGTATTTACTAAAACTTGTGCTATGCAGTACAAAATGTGTCAATCCTCATTTTTATAGAAAATAGTTTAAATGATGACAATAGTCATTCCAATAGTTCATATGCATTTATGGCTTTCAAAATAAGCATTTGATAAGAAATACAGAAAATGAATTTTTATATGCTTCTCATACTTTCTAATGTAAAATTCATATGCTTTGCTACTATAAGCCTAGTTTGAAATAAAATAATGTTGAGAACAGATGGAAATTTTGATAAATAGTGGATTTTTTCTGAGTAGAAGGCAAGTGATTTAGATTGCCTTCTAGACAGTCTTACAAGTGATTTGCCTTGTCTTCTCAAAACAAATAGTATTTATTTGAGTCAAGAAATACCACATTTACCAAGACCTTAGCATGTAGTTGCAGAGGGCTTCACAAGAGAAGTAAGGCTTGAACTGGATTTTTGTGGTTTGTGTCTGGATGTCCCGCTAAAGCCTCATGCAGTCAAGGGGGATAGGCTTTGTGAAGAGGGATGAATCTAAAGTTTGTGATTGATTCATTGTCTAGTGTGGGGGGGTTGCAGGTGTGAGTTCTACACCCATCCTAGGGCGGGTAGCCTACATACAATACAAGGAAAGAGAAGAGGCTTGCTTTCTCCCTTTTTACTCTTGTTGTTTTTGCTGTCTTCTGCTGCCATGAACTGTTGCCCCTGTGCCACACCACCCTGCTTTGGAGCCAGCTGATTATGGACTGAAACCTCCACACACTGTGAACTAAATAAACCTTTCCCCTTTTAACTTTAGGTGTTGGGTATTTGGTCCCAGAAATGAGAAAAGTGACTAAGATATGGATCTTGAAGAATAATGAAGAATTTTATCAAAGTATGTGGGAGAGAGAGAAACTTTCATGTTTCAGGTAAGCATGAGGAATGGTCTGGAAGTATGTTTATGGTTTAGATCTAGGGTCCCCCATAGTCTCATATTTTCAGAAGATTGGCTTTTGGAGGTGATTGGGTCCTGAGAGCTCTAACTTCATCATGGTTTCATCCATTGGTGAGATCATCACTGGGTGGAACTAGTAGGAGTCAAGGGAGATGCAGGAGGTGCCCCTAAAAGAAGGGAGTAGGTATGGGGGTGTGACCTTGAGGGCTAGCTCTTACCCCTGGTCCCATCCTCTCTGGCTCTTCCCTCTCTCTCTGCTTCTTGGCTGCTGTGGAGTGAGAAGATTTCCTGCACTGTTCCCTTCTGTTATGATATTTCTGCTTTGCCACAGGCCCAGAAGCAATGAAGCCAGATGACCATGCACTTAAAACTCTGATGCTGTGAACCAAAGTAACCTTTTCCTCCTTCGAGTTTGCAATATCTTGTCCAGTGATGGAAAGCTAACACAAATGGAACCATGAGGCCTTCTGTAGGAAGTTGCTGATTAAAATAGAAGTTGCATCATAGGCAACTATAACTAGGTGGACTGATAATAGTACGTGGCCTGGAAAATGAGGCAGACAAGTTTGGAGTTGGTACCAAAACACTCTGTATTCTTAATATTTTGAGTAATGTGAGAAATATATTTTATAAAGCATGATGTGAAAGCATTATTAAGATTAAATTGCAAACGGAGGTCATATGAAGGGCTCATGTGAGCTTAGGAAGATACGAAGACAGTCATAGCATCTGTTACCCCCTAAGAGCTGTCTTTCCAATCAACCAGTTTATATCTCTTTTAAACAAGAAAATCTGATTTATATTTCTCTCTTCTTTATTTCCTGAATCCATGAAGTCATCCACTAGTTTAAAGTGGCTCTTTGGCTTTGTCTCTGTGCATTCTATGCCTCCATGGTGGCCTGGACCACTTTAAAGTGGTTTTAGTTGAGAGGAGTTTGGTTAGAAGGGAGATGGTTCATGTGTTTAGTGAGAAGTGGTGACTAGATATCTAAGTGGCAATATCTTCTAGGTAATTAAGAACATGGGAAATAGACATAAATAATAGGCTAGGAATGATGATGGAGAAATAATTCATAGAGCAGCAGCTGTAGAAATAGTATCATCAATTGGAGAAGTGTAAAAAGGGGATCTTTATTGTGAGTGACACTCAAAATGAAAGAATGTCTAAAGAGCAAACTCCTAGAAAATAAGTGAGGAAGAAGTATCAAATACTGTGACAATATAAGGAACATGTACAACAACAAGAAAATTGAAAATAGGCATATATAATGTGGTGAAAATGAAAAGAAAATTTTTCAAATGAGCCATTAAGTAACAGCATTGAATGCTGCAGAGAGGTAGAAGGAATTCAGAAAAGAACCCTGGATTTTCAAGCAAATGAGTTATTATTCCCTAGTAGTGATAAACTAGGTAATTTGGACCAAGATTCCCACTGCAAACAACTAGAAAATCTAGACAAGATGTTAAAAGGTGTTTATTTTCTTAAAGTTACTAGGAAAGCAGTTGGGTTGACTCACACTAAGAGGTGAGCCTGCTGTTAGGGGTGTCTTTTACTCAGATATCTAACAAGTATGGAGGAAGGAACTGAAATGTAAGAAACCTGGGCAGAAATTTTATAGCTAGGGGGAAAAACAAAGTCCAGATGCTTGGGTCAGGTCAGAGTGAAACTCTTCAATTTTTGATTGAAAACCTGAAGGGTTACACTTGGTTATCAAGGTGAATTTGAAGTAGGTCAGTCCTTGCAGGAAATGAAGCCACACTTTGAATTACCTTTGTGCCTGAAATGGAATTCAAGGCAATTCTAGATTGTTAGCAGCTCTGCACATCTACAGAAAAACATGTATTTTTTTTTTTCCTGCAGGAAGATAACATAGAATTCATAATATTTCCATAATTTATACAATTACTTATTTAGTTTTTATATAAACATATGTAGTGTTCAGTAGAAAATCAGTGGGTGACAAGAAAACACAGGTCAAAATTAGATGAAATGATAGTAGAAAAAACCCACAGGGACTCCAAATAATGATGTGATCAGAACTAAACTTTAAAATAACAGTAGCATATTCGTTCCAGGAAATAAAAGGAGAATTTTGGCCAAAAAATGGAAGTATAATGATTAACCACAAAAAAAAAACCAGACCCCCAAAATAATGAACCACGTGGAAAGTCTACCACTGCAAAATACAGAGGGAGAGGTGGAAAGTTAAACTTAGGAAACGGGGAAAACAGTAAACAACAAAGAAGAGAGCTCATGGACAGGAAGCAATATTTGATGAGCTATGATCTGAGAACTTTCCAAAGACAGAAAAAAACATTTAGCCATGTATTCAATCATCTCTTCAGACCCCAAAGAGGAGAATAACAAACAACCAGCCTAGGTATGCCATAACAAAATATCTAGCAACCAAAAGCAAAGAAAAAAGGGTGAGTGCATTAATAAGAGAAAAGGCCAAACTATTTTCAAAGTGACAGCTTATTAGAGTGATAAGTATACTTCACAATATGAATAATGGAACCTGAAGGCAATAAAATATCATATTCAAACTGCTGGTAGTACTCATGGTAAACAAGTTTTTTTGGATAATTTTGTGCCCCAGGAAAATACTTTCCAAGAAATAGATAACAAGCATTTCCTGACAAGTAAGAACTGGCAGAATTCATCAGCTATAATCTATACTGAAGAGAGAACATTCAGCTAAAAAACAAGTACAAGAAGAAATAAGGTACAATGAAAATGAGAAACAGATGAAAAAATGTAAATCAATAGGGACTAAAAAGTAACAGTAGAATCCTATGAGAAAATATGACAAAAATCTTCTACCTGCAAAAGGAATAAATAAAATTAAAATGTTCCCATTCTTTGCAGTGGTTTGGAAGAGAGAAAAAGTATTAGGAGCATGAGACTCTGATAAAGCAGAGGTGAATATTGTAACCTGTATGGAAATCAGTAAACATAGCCACAGTAGGTGTTATTGCTAGCTAATAGTGAGAAAAAATGGAGTAATAAAAATATCCAGAATTAGAAAGGAGAGAAAAACAATAAAGAAAAAGTGAGCCAAATAGAAGGGGCTGAATATGTGATGGAGGTATACCTAGGTTGTATTAACTGTAAACAAACTAAATTTTCTATTTGGAACACAAAGCTTATCATATGTGATAAACAGTTAACTATTTATAGTTTACAAGAGATGCATTAAAGATAGAAGGTTAAAAGTAAAAATAAGAGGTAAATATACCCTTCAAATTTAAACGGAAAGAAAATTTGCACATACTTACATATTTACACACCAGGCAGCATACAGTTTAAGGCAAAGGACAAATAAATGAGTGTTAAAAGCAATAAAATATTTAGTTCACCAAAAAGATAAGCATTCTATTTTTGTGCATACCTAATAACGCAGACTTATAATATATAAAAAGAATTATCACAAGAGGACAAATTCCCAATGAGAATGAAAATCTAAAAATATCTCCCCCAAAAAGTGATTGCACAAGTAGACAAAAAAATCAGTAAGGAAGTTTGAAAAACATGAACAACTACCACCTTACTAAATATGTAGAAATATACCATAAATTGTAAAATATACATTATTTCTAAATACAGGGTGTCAAGAACAAGTTTTTGAAAGTAAGTAATGTAGTAAATATTTTTAAAATACTAAGAAAAAGGACCTTAGATGTTTGCATTACAAAAAAATGTGTGGGTGGTGGTGGATATGATAATTATATTTATTTAATCACTGTTTAATATACTTAAGCATCTCACTGTACCCTATGGATATATACAATTGCTATTTACAATTTTAAAGAAATAAACCAGTAAATCTTTTCCTTTGGAAATAAATATACTTCCAAATGAGCTATGAAAATACTTTGAAATAATGGTATCAAAAACATTGTTTTTAGGAACTTGAACCCAAACTCAGGACCTTGTGCTTGACAGGCAGGAGCTATGCCACTGAACTACACCCCCTGCCCTCAAGAACATTCTTTGGCATGATTTTATATGCATATATGTCCTGTTTCTTTTGCACACAACACAGACGGCCAGAAGTGGAAATAACCCATATGGCCATCAACTGGAGAATGAATAAACAAATTGTGGTATTTTGTAGTATGGGATACTATTCAGAAGTAAAAGATAAAAAATATTAATGTATGAAAGACATCAAGTGAAATATTATGTCAAGTGAAGGAAGCCCAAACCATAGACTTCATAACTTATGATTTAATTTCATTAAAATTCTAGGAAAGAGTATGAAGAAATTTATTTTTTTATTTTTTTATTTTTAGTACTGGGGATAAAACCTATGTGAAACAAGTGATCTATCACTATATCGCCAATTCTCCCACTCCCACCTTTTCTTCAAAGTTTTATTTTGAGACAGGGTCTCACTAACTTCTTTGGCTGGGAGCAAATATGCAGTCCTCCTGCCTCCGGCTTTTGAGTTACTAGTATTATAGGCATGCGTCACTATGCTTGGAAATGAGGAATCTTCTTAGGGTAATAGAGCTATTTTTACCTTAATTATGGTGGTGATTATATGACTGCATGTAATTTACCAAATTGCATAAGTTGTCTACTTAAAATGGGAGAATTTTTTTTTATACAAACTATAACTCAGTAAAAGTAAAATTGCAAAAATACAAGGTTGGTTAAACATTTAAAGATAGATCTAACATAAAGAAATATTAAGAAAATCATTTGGTACTTGCAATAGACACAGAAAAAGCAGGTAAAACAACATTCATTAATAATAATATGCTGAAATTAGCCTAGAAGGAAAAAGAGAGAATGTATACTGAGTCTTCAGCAAACATATTTCATGGTGAGATTTTGAAAGATTAATATTTGAAAAAAGTATTCATGCTATTGTCATTTCTAGTCCATTTTCCTGGAATTTCTACATAAAGGTAAGAAGGTGAAGCAAAATCCATTAGAATTAGAAATGAAGAAGCAAAGTTACTGTCACATCACAGATAACAAGACTGCATGTAGAAAATTAAAAAAAAAACCATTACCAGTAATACATGAAACCAGTAAATTTTTTGAGTACAAATTCTATATATAGATGTAGTCAAAAGAATTTTTATATGCCAGCAGCAAGTAACAAATAAAACAGTTCTATGTAGATTAACATAAAATATAAAACACATAAGAATGAATCTAGTGAAGCGTGTCACAGAATATATGTTAAAAACCACGAAATATTATTGGAGAAACAAAAAGGAAACAAATAAATGGATGGCTAGAACATGCTCATGGGCTGGATGACTCAAGATTATAAAGATACTAATTTTTTCACACACTGATGTGTGTAATATGCAGAGGGCCAAGAATAGCAAACACACTCTTGAAGTTAAAGAAGTTTAGATGACTTATGCATCAGGTATCAAAACCTTCCTTACAGCCAGAGGTGTGGCTTAGAGGGTGAGCACTTTTGAACTACACACGAGGTCTGAAGAGAAAGTGATACTAGCACAAAGAAAATCAAACCAAAGAACATAACTGAATAGAAGAATTTATTTCTATCAAAAGTGTCAGAGCAAAATAGTAGGCAGAAAGAATCTTTTCAGTAAATGGTTCTGCAGCAATTGGATTTCCTCCAAGGAAAACTTACTTTACCTCTACTTCAAATAATACATAAAAAAATCAATTCCAGGAAAATTCT